TAGTCATGCAAAAGTGGATTAAGTCCAGCAACTAGTTGGAAGATTTCCATGACATTTGAAGAATGTCACTCTTCATCATGATGTCCCGTAGTGGAAACCTCATTCTAAATGTAATTGCAACAATTCATTCAAAATAATAGTGAAGTTTCTTCAAGACATTAGTAAATACTTTCATATTTGATTTACATTGAATTCAAGAAATGCAAAGCTTTTTATGTTCTATGGAGTCTTCATCAGATTTTGAGGCTTCTTTTTTTTCAGTTTGGAAACTACATGTCGTAAGTATTGTCTGTCCTGGTGAAATTATTCACTAACAACAACATATACAAACTTTTAATTCTGGAATAGGCTAGCTATGATCTCATAACAGCTTGAATAATTTTTAAAATTTGAATATTGTTTATTAGCTCAGGGACAAATATAGGCCTAAGTAGTCCCAACAGAATAACTCCAATCCTCACCTAAAAAGCTCAAAGAATGTCACCAAAAGATGCCACAGTCTTGATTCAAATTTCCATCATTTCATAATAAAGGAGATAGATATATGGATAAGAGACATCAACTACTCATTTCTTACAGCTACATATCTATTTAACATTTGCAATAACCAGTCTAAATGTCTGTTCAGACATTCAATGGTCCCTTCCAAGAGGGGTGGGAGGCAGAATTTCAGTTTTTTACAACAGCAACTACCAAAAAAGTACATGACCTAAGGAAATAATAAGCTTCTGTAAGAGCATTATTTTTTTTAGGAAATACACATTGGACAATTTAGGAGCAAAGAGGCATTGTGTCTATAACTCTCAAATAGTTCAGAGAGAGGAGGAAAGTACATGTGGTAAAATAACTTTTGACAAATTGGATAAATTTCTTCTTTCTTTTACCAAGTTATCAGTAATTCAATCTCTTGTGTACTTTGGTGCATTCAGATGAGCTATTTCTTCTTGAGACAGTTTAAGTAGTTTGTGTCGTTCCAGGTACTGGTCCATTGTTCTTTTCTTTTCTTTAAAGATTATTTATTTATTTGAGAGAGAGCATGAGTGAGCAGGGACAGAAGCAGAGGGAGAGGGACAAGCAAAAGCAGAACCCAACTCAGGGCTCAATCTCACAACCCTGAGATCATGATTTGAGCAAAAATCAAGAGTCGGTGCTTAACCGTCTGAGGCACCCAGGTGCCCTGGTACTAGTCCATTTTTGAAACAATTTGTTGGTGTACAGTTGTTCATAGTATTGTCTTACAATTCTTTTTATTTCTGAAAGTCAATCTTAATATTCCCCTTTTCATTCCTGATTTTAGTAATTTGATTCTTCTATCATTTTTCTTGGCCTGTTTGACTTCAAATTTGTCAATTTTGTTGATCTTTTCAAAGATAGGGGGCGCCTGAGTGGCTCAGTTGGTTAAACAATTGCCTTCCGCTCAGGTCTTGATCCCAGTTTACTGGGATCAAGCCCTGCATAGGCTTCCTGCTCAGCAGGGAGCCTGCTTCTCCCTCGCCCTCTGCCACTCCCCCTGCTTGTGTGCTCTGGCTCTCTCTCTCTGTCAAATAAATAAACAAAATCTTTAAAAAAAAAAAAAAAAGATGGGCTTTTGGTTTCATTAATTTTCTCTATTTCATTAATTTCATTACATTCATTTACAAAAATCTTTATTATTTTCTACATTCCATTACTTTGGATTTTAGTTTGCTCTTCTTTTACCAGTAACTTAAGGTGAAAAGATACTGATTTGAGACTTACTATTTTCTTTGGCTGCTCCAGGGCTAACCACATATAAACAAAGATATAAATAGAGATATAAATCTTCTCTAAGCCTGAAATTTATGCTAACTTAGCTCCAGCAAGATATAGAATTGTTACTCCTACACTCCTACTCCCTCCTCCCCCTTTTAGTGCTACTAATCTTATATATATTAAATATTACATCTACATATATTACAAGTCCAACTATACATTGTTATAATTATTCATTTATACAATTGTGTGTCTTTTAAAGTAGCTAAAGAGGAAGAATAAATATATAGGACTTGTTATATTAACTTTCTTACTTATAATTTCTGGTTCTCTTTATTTATTCCCATGGATTCAAGTCAATGTCTGGTGTTATATCTTTATTCCAATAAACTTTGCACTCATGTAGCTCCTTTGTGCTGCTGTTAACATATTACATTTATATATGTTATAGGCCCTCTGATACAATTATATACATATTATTTTATATAATTTCTTTTCAAGTCAGTTAAGAAAAGAGAAATAATAAGCAGTCATTTTATCTTTTATAATTACATAACCCCTCATTGGTGGTGTTAGTTTTCCTACTTGGGTCACTTGTTCCCTGCCTGAAAATCTCCTGTTAGTATTTCTTATAAATGTCAATCTGCAGCAATAAATTTTCTTTAAGTCCTCAGGCTTGAACTTCCCCCACACTCCATTTTAAATAAAGTCAGTCCCACTGGGGAGAGCTTCACGGTGCTCTGTGTTTATGGACTGCCTCTGTCCTTGGATAAAAATCTCTATGCCCTTCCACTGGGCAGGTATGGTAGCCTCTGGTGTTTTTCACTTGCCTTTCCTAAACATGGAAACTCCACCCTACAAATGAACCAGAGTGAGGATGGTCAGGCCAGATGTTCTCAGCCTGCTAAATCTGGCTAAAACCTCCACTCTAAAAGCAGGGCTGGGTAGAGACTGGGAGACCCCCGGTCCCTGGTCACACTAACCAGGAATTTAGTCTCTGCAACTCAGCGTTGGAGGGGATGAGAAATACCAGTAACCTGCATTTACCAATGAGATACCTTTTCTCTGCTTGGAAAATGAGGGAAAAGCAAGCCATATCTTTTTTGCCATACCCGCCATGAGTGGAGCTTTTGTTAAACTGAACTGGGAATGGGGAGGGAGTGCGTCCTTGCTCAAGTACCATGGACTCAGCTTTTCTCTCCAGAGTTGTAGGAAATCTTTCTGAATAAATGTTCCATTGTTTGATGTATGACTTTAGGACTGCTTGCAGCTATTTTTTTTAATTTTAATTTTTTTAGAGAGACAGCATGTGTGCACACACACACACACGAGTGGGGGAAGGAACAGAGGGAGAATCTCAGGCAGGCTCCATGCTCAGCGTAGAGCCCAGTGAAAGGGTCCATCTTAGGACTAAAAGATCATGACTTGAGCCAAAACCAAGAGTTTGACATTTAACTGACTGAGCCCACAGGTGTCCCACAGATATTTTAAATAGTTCAAAGTATTTGACTGAAGAATGATGCTTCTAAAAAAGAAATAAGTTAAAGGATTTTAAAATAGCTTTAATAATGATGAAGATAAATATTAAAAAAGGATGGGAAGTATTTGAATAAAATTATTTTATAAAATATGACTAAGAAAAATATATCTGTATTACAAATACATGTAATATGGAATTTTAGAACTATATAATGAAATTAACAAATAAATGTTTTGGGTTTTTTTTAATCATTTTTTTATTTATTTTCAGCATAACAGTATTCATTGTTTTTGTACCACAGCCAGTGAACAAATAAATGTTTTACGTAGGTATTCTACTATTTTTTCTATACTTCAAAAGGTTTATATATTAGAATTGGCAAAAGTGTGGGGTTTCTCTCATAGTTGGGGTCATTTTGTATTTATTCACATAATAGCCATTGAACTTCCGTTCCATGCCAAGCCCTACTGTAGGTGCTGTGAATACGTGAGTTAACTGCTTTTATGAACCTGAATTTCAGGTAGTCATAAGGGGAAAAAAATCAAGGTGATGTGATGGGAGACTGAGAAAGGGCTCATAGGAGACCAGTCGACTAGAAAGGGGCGAATCTTACCAAGATCAAGGATAAGAAAGTTTCACATCTGCAAAATTGCCGTTTCCAGTCCGTTAAGGCAGGAAGAAACTGGGTGTGTACCAGCAACGGTAATACCCAGATAAGTCATACTTTTCTAGACAAACTGAAGAGCTATTTACTCAGAGACATTTGGAAAGTTAATGCAAAAAGGGACAAGAAAAGTAAGTGTACAATTCTATTTGTTAAATATCTCACACTGGCTTCTAGGTATAGAGAAATATCTGGGATCAGCAGAGAACCTGGCAAACCTCTCTCTTTCTCCTCATTTTCTTATTCCTTCCTTTCAGAAACAATGGGGAGGAAGAGGGAAAAGCAGAATTTAAAGGTAAAAATAGTTTAAAGTTTGATTCCCATGCTTATGACTCACTTACTGAATATGGACAGGCATATGATATACCCTCTCTCAAGCCTCCTTCTTTTCACTGTCAGATGAAGACAATGTCACTTATTCAGCATGATTGTTACCGGGAATGAGCTAGACATGTAACACACATAAAAAAGGAGAGATAAACCTGGTACTTCTATTGCTATCCACTCAGATCTCTGCACAGTGAAGTAGCTTAGCAAGAGGGGACAACACTGATTCAGTTTAGATTACTTATAGTGCTGTGATATGGCTCAAGACATTCACCCTTTCTGAGCCTCAGCTTCTATAAAATCGTGGGGAAAAGTTTAGCATGAGATATAAGTTATGAAACCCACGTACAGCAATCAGCATAGAGCCTGGAACATGTGTGCAATATATGGAGATACTTCCTAACTGTGCACTGGGGATTAGGGCAGATGCTGGGTGTTGTGAGTGTGAGGCATGTCCTTTTCTTCGCTTACTGTATGTATAAGTGAGAAGCCAGGTCTACTGTAACTGTGTTCATTACTTAAGGAAATTAGACCTAAAAATGTACATGATTGGTTCCTCATTCTGGGTTTCTCAAACTGAACCCCAAGTCTGAGATCCATTTCATTATATTTAAATATCTGATAGACATTTCTTTAAATCGGCAAATATTCTCTAAAATCTCTTCTTTCAAAGGAATGTGAAGTTTCTGATTGAGAAATTATGTTAAGCCCATCTACCCTCCCATTGACTCAGCTTCCAGAAATTCCTTTTATGGTCATTGAGTTCATTGTTTTGTGTTTAGTGCTTTCATTTTCGTGTTACTATAAAGTCTGTTACAGTGGTTGCTTTACTTCTGTTCTGTCTTTAAAGGAAACCTGGAAAGTCCAATGACATTGGACAGGGGAAATAAAAGACCCATGATCCAGTGAGAGACAGAGAAGTAACAGAAACCACTCTACCTAACTGAGAAGGAAAAAAAAGAGGTAAGATCTCCACTTTCTCTTCAAAGCAGCTTTCTCTTCAGCTTTAAAGAAGCTCTGCTCTGGGAAATGGAACTCATGGTAAGGTTGGGGCAGAGATGGGAAGGGATTCATAAGGGGAGGTTTTCTTCAAAGGTGACCAGCATCGGGACAGGCTGCAGGTGAACCTGCTCTGGGCTACCAGGTCAGATGGTGACATACTGGTGTTACATGGTGGTAGCAGGTTCCTACCTATTCTGCACTGTGCTTCTGCAGAATTAGGCACCAGCAGACATGGGCCTAAATGAAGTTTGAAATGCATTAGGATTTCTTTCTCTTTTCTTTTAAAGTGTCATTGTCTTTGATGGAACTTGCTAGGTACCCATCTGACTACAAATAAGAAACTAAAAGGCAACTGAAATAGGTTACATTAGAGTAGTAAAAGAGGTGCTAAACAGCCAATGACACTGTTAAAGACAGAGAAAGAAAAAACTGAAACCCAGAGTGAAAGATGAGATTTATGAAAACACCGTACTTTTTAATCACATAATTGAACTTTATTTCAAAGTGTATTTTCCTTCCTTTAGAAATAATCCAGGTTCAGTAGATCCAATTTCTTGGTACCAACTTATTTCTTACCCCTTACAAATAGTATCTGCAGCCCTGTTTTACTAAATGCTTCCTCTGTAAAGAATCTACTGTGGTGCATCACTGAAGGCAACATCTTTGTTTGCCTTGACCTCTCCGTGCCCTCAAGCAGTTCCAACCTTGACTTCTGGAAATTCCTGCCCTGAATTCTTTGGCTTGGCATGAACTTTATTCATCATCCCCTTGTCTGACAGCTCCCTCTCCCTCTCCGTTTCTCTTCCTCCTTTCCCCTCATCTCTCATTCTTCTCCCTCTCCCCTTCACCTTCTCTTCCTGCCTTTCCTTCTCCACCAAATGGAAGAGAAAACAGAACAGAAAACTTAGAAGTGTATGGCTGAAAATACAGATATTTTCTTTGAACAGCTTCCCCTCTACCTCTCTTGATCTGCCTCCTGCTTTTTTTTTTTTTAGTTTCATGTATACAATATAATGATTCAACAATTCTGTGCATTACTCAGTGCTCATCACAATAAGCACACCCTTAATTCCCTTCACATATTTCACCCAAACCCCCACCCACCTCACCTCTGGCAACCTTCAGTTTCTTCTCTATATTTAAGGGTCTGTTTTTGGCTTGTTTTTCTCTTTTTTGCTTTGTTTGTTTGCTTGGTTTCTTAAATTAATTCCACATATGAGGGAAATCATATGGTGTTTGTCTTTCTCTGACTGATTTATTTCACTTAGCCTAATACTCTATAGATCCACACATGTTGTTGGAAATGACAAGATCTTATTTTCTATGGCTCAGTAGTATTTCATCATATTAAAGGCATATTATTATTCTATTAATATGTATTACATATAATAGCAATTATACTATTATATATATGTACCACTTCCTCTTTATCCACTTTAACTACTCATCTACTGTTGGACACTTGGGTTGCTTCCATATCATAAATAATGCTGCAATAAACATGGAGCTGCATATATCTTTTTGAATTAGCATTTTTGTTTTCTGTGGGTAAATACCCAGTCATGGAATTACTGGATCATATGGTAGTTCTATTTATTTTAAGTTTTTATTTATTTATTTGACAGAGAGAGAGAGACCATAAGTAGGCAGAGAAGCAGGCAGAGAGAGAGGGGGAAACAGGCCCCCTGCTGAGCAGAGAGATCGATGTAGGGCTTGATCCCAGGACCCTGAGATCATGACCTGGGCCAAAGGCAGAGGCTTAACCCACTGAGCCACCCAGGTGCCCCTCTATTTTTTAATTTTTGAGGAACCTCCATACTGTTTTCCACAGCGGCTTCACCCGTTTGCATTCCCACCATCAGTGCACCAGGAATCTTTTCTTCATATCCTAGCCAACACTTTTTCCTTGAGTTTTTTATTTTAAACATTCTGACGGGTATAATGTGATATCACATTGTGGTTTTGATTTACATTTCCCTGATGATGAGTGATGTTATGAGCATCTTTTCATGTGTCTATTTGCCATCTGTATGTCTTCTTTGGAAAAATGTCTGATCATGTCTTCTGCCCATTTTTAATTGGATTATTAGTTTTTTGGTGTTGAATTATGTAAGTTCATTATATATTTGGATATTAACTCCTTATCAGACATGTCATTTGCAAATATCTTCTCTGATTCAATAGGTTAACTTTTTGTTTTGTTGATGGTTTCCTTCACTGTGCAAAAGCTTCTCATTTTGATGTAGTCCCAGCAGTTTATTTGTGCTTTTGTTTCACTTGCCTCTGGAGAAAAATGCTTGTAAGACTGATGGCAAAGAAATTATTGTCCATGTTTTCTCCTAGGAATTTTGTGCTTTCACATCTCACATTTAGGTCTTTAATCCACTTGAATTTATTTTTGTGTTTGGTATAAGAAAATGGTCCAGTTTCATTCTTTTCATGTACTATCCTGTTTTCCTAATACCATTTGTTGAAGAAACTTTTTCCCATTGCATATTCTTTTTCTTTTAAAGATTTATTTATTTATTTTAGAGAGAAAGAGAAAGAGAAAGAGAAAGAGAAAGAGAAAGAGAGTGTGTGAGTGGGGGGAGGAACAAGGAGAGAGACAGAGAGACAATCCCAAGCAGACTCTATGCTCAGCATGCGGCCCAATGCAGGGTTCAATCCCGCAACTCCGAGATCACAACCTGAACTAAAATCAAGAGCCGGACACTCAATTGACTGAGCCACACAGACACCCCTCTCATTGCATATTCCTGCCTCCTTTGTTGTAGATCAACTGACCATAAAAGCACAAGTTTATCTCTAGACTTTCTAGTCTATTCCATTGATCTATGTCTCTCTTTTTGTACCAGTACTATACTGTTTTGATTACTAGAGCTTTATAGTATATCTTGAAATCCAAGATTCTGATACCTCCAGTTTTGTTCTTTTTTCTCAAAATTGCCTTGGCTGTTTGTAGTTCTATGCAAATTTTAGGATTATTTGTTCTAGTTTTGTGAAAAAATGCTATTGGTATTTTTATAGAAATTGCATTATATCTGTAGATTTCTTTAGGTAGTATGGACATTTTAACAATATCCATTCTCCTAATCATTGAATATGGAATATCTTTCCATTTGTTTGTCTCACTGAAATTCTCCACTCTCCGTTCTCCAATAGGTATCTTTAGCATCATTATTTTGAATTCTCTATCAGACATTTCTTATCTCCATTTCATTTAGCTTTTACTGTGGTTTTGTCTTGTTCTTTCTATCTAGAATATATTCCTTTGCCTCCTCATTTTGTCTAACTCTCTGTGTTTGTTTTTATGTATTAGCAGTCAGCTATATCTCCTGATCTTGAAAGTAGTGGCCTCAGCTCTTTGCAATGGACTTCTTTGCCTGTTGTGAGAAGGATTTGGTCTCTATCTGTTCAGCGACCAGTCTGGGGCAGCCTTGCGCTTATAGTTAGGTCAGACCAGATAGCTGCCCTGAGCCCTTTGGCCAGAAATGTGGTTGCACAGAACTGCAGGGTGCTTTTTCTGCATTGTCCTCTGAGAGGCTTTCATTGGTGGGAAGGAACTGCAGTCAGACCAAATATCTGACTCCCAGTCTATTTGTTGGGGTTGTTGTGACTCCAAACTACAGGGAGCTCTGTGCAGACACTTGTGAGGTTTTTCTTGGTGGGCAGAACCAGCAGTCAGATCAGACCATTGAGGCTGCAGTTAAACTGGTGCGTGTATGGTTATCTTCAGACACTTTGGAGTGGTGCTGACAACTATCAGAGCTACTTGAAAGATGAGACCGGGCCAAAGCACTTTGGAGGAACTCCTCCTGAGTGGGGTAGGTTGGATGGGGGGATCTGCAGGAGAACAGGGTATGTGGTGTTAGGAAATTAGATGGTGAATGTTCACACTAGTTACCACAGGTGTCTGCATATCTAGGCTGGAGTTGAGAGAGAGAAATGGCATCCACCAGTTCTTTTGTTCTTGGAGAAGTCTCCCAAAGATCTGTGCCCCTCCTGTGCACATTCTGAGGTTAGTAAATAAATCTCCTCATATACCCCAGTTGCCTTTCAAACTGTTGCCTCTGTGCTGTGTCTTACTTGGGTTGTTTTTTATGCAAGCTCTTTAAGTGTAGGTACTCACTTTTCCATCACCCTCCAGGCTCTCTCAGAGCCAAGTCTTTCAAAGTTCTTGATGTTAGGTGCCTGGTTGGTTTAGTCTGTTATGTGTCTGCCTTCAGCTCAGGTTATGATCCCAGAGTCCTGAGATCAAGCCCCACGTCAGGCTCCATGCCCAGCAGAGAGTATGCTTTCCCTCTCCCCCTGCCCATCCCCTGACTTGTGCTTTCTCTCTTTCTCAAACAAGTAAGTAAAATCTTAAGGGGTGCCTGGGTGGCTCAGATGGTTAAGCATCGCCATTCAGTTCAGGTTATTATCTCCAAGTCCTGGGATGAAGCCCCATGTCGGGATTTCAGCTTAGCTGGGAATCTGCTTCTCCCTCTCCCTCTGCCTCTCTCCTTGTTTATACTCTCTCTCTCAAATGAATAAATAAAATCTTTAAAAAAATAAAGTTCCCAATGTTAAGCACCACTGACTATAAAAACTCAAAAAGTAAATCCACTCTAGTTTTCAAAGCCAGATGTAATGGGGAGTGTATTCCCAGTGCAGGTCCCCCATGTCTGGGGTGACTGGTTTGGGGTCTGTTCTTCTCCATTCTCTGTACTTGTGGTATTCCTCCTGCTTGTGGTTAGTCTTGCATGTTAGTTTCATTTCCAACCAGACTTTACCCTTGCTATTATTTTCGATGTGGTCTCATCTCTGCGATTAACTGTTGACAGTCTTCTCTACCAGTCTTTGCTTCATTTTTGGGTAATTACACAGATGTAGCTGTTACTAGGTATGTCCATGGGATGAGGTGAGCTTAGGATCCTCCTATTCTGCAATCTTTCCAGGCTTCTCTGCCTCCTGATCATTTAATCCTTATTTCAGTCTTTTGTTCCCTTACTTATATATGTGTGTGTGTGTATATATGCCCTAGCAATACTCCTGTATATATGTATACACACACACACATATATATGTATATTTATGTGTATATATTATATGTCTATACACATAATTTTTACCACATTAAGTATTTCCAGTTGTGCACTTATGCTGTCATGTAGCTGGAGGCTAATTTACTTGTGAAGGTAATGAAGTTTAAGTTTAAAGGCCCCTTGCTTACACAACCCACACCAAGGCTTTGGATGGGTCTCTACTTATGTGTCTCACATGGGCATATGTTTTTATAAAATTTGCAAAAGTAAGTTATATTGGTTCCACTTTTGGAATGGCAGTGTGAGCAGCTCTGTGGACCATCATTACAGCAAAATAAGAATAACTATGGGGGAAAAATACTTAAAATCTCTGGGAACTGTTCAAAGGGTATACATGAAATGATGTATGAAAGTCTTTATTCGCAGTAAGAAGTAATGAATAAATCAACATTGAATTTTTTACATATAACCAGGAAGTAAAATAAATCTTTCTAAATTCTATTCTATTTTACATTTAAAGTTTACTCTAAATTTTTAAATGCAAATCCAAAAAGAAAGTTTTCTATAGTGAACTAAGTGAACAATTTTTTTATGAGGGAGGCTGAATGTTCCTAAGATACTGTCATACCAGTATTTTTTCAGTGGACTACTTTGACAATCCTTCTGCCACTTCCTAAAACGATACAGATATTACCCTCATCTATCTCAATGCTGACATTAAACTTTTGGACATTTGGGGACTCTACCTTCTGAATGTAAAATAACCTGGTGAATTATTTGATCTACTTATACTGGAAGTTTTATTTCATCCCATCTTTTCTCTTGCAGACTAAGGAACACTCTGAACATGGCCTCAGAAATGGTGATGCCAGCCCCCATGTGCCTCATTGAGAACACTGGAGAGCAACTGGTGCCTAATCAGGAAGCTCTGAAGATCCTGTCAGCCCATAAGAATCCTCTTGTTGTGGTAGCTATTGTGGGCCTCTACCGCACAGGCAAATCCTACCTGATGAACAAGCTGGCTGGGAAGAACAAGGGTGAGTGGCACCAACAAAGCTCTGCCAAGTCCTTTCTGTCCACCCTCTGCCAGCATTGAGTGCATTGATGCAAGAAGAGGAAGTCAGAGATGCAGAAGAATATTGAAAGTTACCTTTCAGCCCACAGTTATGCTCTTATCTTCACTATGGTGTGTAAAAGGCAGTTCATCTCACTTCCCACTTTGCCTTAGTATCCCCTTTTAAAAGCATAAATTGTTCCTTTCCTAAAAAGACTAATAATGCAGTAACAAAAATAATTAGTGTACAAAATAATAAACTACAAGACATTTGCTGAAATGTTTGTGCAGTAAAAACAACTTTCCACTGATTATTAAGTGGAATGTTTAGGTCTGTATTGGCTGTTTTTTTTTAACTGTTGTAAAATAAACATAACATAAAATTTACCATTGTAACAATTTTTAAGTGTACATACAGTTCTGTGGCATTAAATTAAGTTCACAGTTATGCAACCATTGCCACCATCTGTCATCATAACTTTTTCATCTTCCCTAGCAGAAACTCTGTACCCATTAAACAATAACTTCCCACCCCTTGGTAGCTACCGTTCTATATTCTGTCTCTATGACACTTGCTCTAGGAATCTTATTTAAGAGGAATCAGACATTATTTCTCCTTTTGTAATTTGCTTATTTCACTTAGCATAATATCTTCAAAGTTCATCAGTGTTGTACCATGTGTCAGAATTCTCTTCCTTTTTATGGCTGAACAACTCTATGGGCATACCAATTTGTTTCTCCATTCATCTGTTGAAGGATCCTTGGGTTGCTTCCATTTTTGGCTATAATGAATAATGCCACTAAAAACATGAGGGTACAAATATCTATTCAAGTGCCTATTTTCACTTTTGGGGGGTATATACCCAGAAGTGGGATTGCTGAATCACATAGTAGTATGTTTAATTTTTTAAGAAATCATCATATTGTTTTCCAAAGTAACTGCACCATTTTACATTCCCACCAGAAAAACACAAGGTTTCTATTATCCCCACGTCCTCCCCAATACTTACTACTTTCTGGTTTTTTGGTAGTGGCCATCCTAATGAGTGTGAAGTAGTATCTCATTGTGGTTTTCATTTGTTATTTCCCTAATGAATAGTGATGTTGAGCATCTTTTCATTTGTTTACTGGTCATTTGTATATTTTCTTTGGAGAAATGTCTATTCAAGTCCTGTGCTCATTTAGAAAAAAATTTTTTATCACTTTCAGAGGTGGAATTTAGTGATTCATCAGTTGTGTATAACACCCAGTGCTCATTACATCAAGTGTCTTCCTTAGTGCCCATCACCCATTTATTCTTTGCCCCTACCCTCCAACAACCCTCAGTTGGTTTCCTAGAGCTCAGCATCTCTTAGGACTATTCACCACAACCAAGTGGGATTTATTCCTGGGCTTTGCTCATTTTTTAACCAAGGTTGTTTTTTGTGTTGCATTGTAGGACTTCTAGATCCATCCGCTATTAAAACTCTACCCCCTCTTATCCCCACTCCCCTTCACAGGCTTTTCTCTGGGCTCCACAGTGCAGTCCCATACGAAAGGAATCTGGATGTGGTGTGTGCCTCATCCCAAGAAGCCAAACCACACGTTAGTTCTTCTGGACACTGAGGGCCTGGGAGATGTAGAGAAGGTAAGGATTAAGGATTTCATTTTGGCATAAGAACCTAATAATATTCTCTACGGTATTTATTTTTTTAATAAAAGCTTTTATTTAAATATGTTTTTTCATTTCTGTTTATGTGCCCTGAGACCAAGTTTAGCAACCAGAGGTCAGGAAAACATTCAGAAGGTAGAATCCAAGAAAATCATAGTAGTCAGTGGGTAGTATTCTAATTATTAACAACAGCCTATATGTTAAGTCAGTTAACCGAGATACATAAAAGTAGTACAAATAAAATCAATGTCATGAGTTCAATCCTGCAGAGAACTTTAGTTAGAATTTAGGTTCTGGGGCGCTTGGGTGGCTCAGTTGTCTCCAGTGGCTCAAAGTCTACCTTTGGCTCAGGTCATGATCCAGGGGTCCTGGGATCAAGCCCCGCATCAGGCTGCCTGCTTAGTAGCAAGTCTACTTCTCCCCATCCCTCTCCCTCTGTGATGTCTCTCACTCTTGCTCTCTCTCAAATAAATAAATAAAATCTTAAAAAAAAAAAAAAAAAGAATTTAGGTTCTGAAGTCCCATACCCTTGTGTTTAAATATAAGCCCTGTCACCTAACTCAGTGGTATTGGCAAGTTATTTGACCTATTTTGACCTCAGTTCTCTAAATCTATAAAACAGATTTTTGCCTATCTATAGATCTATATTTGCCTCATAGTATTGTTTTGAATAAGGTAAGTAATGGAAAATGTTAAGTGCCTAATAATTGCTCAATGAAGTAACTACACATATTATTACTCTTATATAAGTCAACTTTGCTATAAAAAGGAAAAGAAAACTTTAAACTTAAGTTATATTTAAAGCCTTAGCATGCCCACCAATCTTGATTATTTGTTTCGTAATTACCTATCAATGATCATAAGAGGACCTAGTGAGAATCAATGAACACTAAAAATACTAATTATAAAATGACCCAAAACTGAAGTCCCACTCACATATTTGTTTGGATTTGGTTTTCTCATATAGGTCATTAACCAAACCAAAGCAAACCAAACTAAACTAAAACAAACAAACAAACAAACAAACACAATGACCCTCTAATTAAATGAGCATCCTTTTACTGCTGCTGATCTGCAAAGTACCAGGAGAATGAAACATAATCTCAGCATCTCAGCCCAAATGTGTTCTGATTTCCAGGGTAATAACCAGAATGACTCCTGGATCTTTGCCCTAGCAATACTCCTGAGCAGCACCTTTGTGTACAACAGCATGGGAACCATCAACCAGCAGGCCATGGACCAACTACAGTATCCTTTTTGCTGTTCAAAATAGCACCAAAGTAAGAGGGGAGACCTATTTAAAAAAAACCAGCTGCTTGGCTGTTGAATCCTGGTGAATCAAGCACAAAAAGAGAAAACATAAGAAATAATTCAAGGGTAAGGGAAAGATCCAATGTACCCATTGAAGAATTGACCCGGGTTAAAAACAAGGGTGAAATGAAGGTTTTAAATATATGGAACTAATGTGAGATGGAGGACACTGTTCTTTTCTGCTAGTTTTCCTTAGTTTGCTACTCAGCTATGTGACAGAGCTGTCAGATCGAATCAGGACAAAATCCTCCCCTAATGCCAATGGGATTGAAGATTCAGCTGACTTTATGAGCTTCTTTCCAGATTTTGTATGGACACTGAGGGATTTTTCCTTAGATTTGGAAGTAAATGGACTACCCATCACAGCAGATGAGTACCTGGAGAATTCACTCAAGCTTAAACGAGGTAAAAGGCAGGGATTTATAATTAAAAGGGGATAACAAAACACAAGAAACTATCATGTTCAGCATTCCATTTACAGTTTTCTTACATTTATAGTTTTCTATTTATTCGTAGCTAGCTATAACTAAGAACTATTGCTTATTTGATACATGAATTTAATAAATTTGATTTTAAATTATAGTCTCCTCTTTTCTAAGAATAATTTATTTTTCTTTCATCTTTTCCTGTGCTATTATTAGATTGATTTTATTTCCTTGTTTAGGGCTTGCAATTAGCTATGGAATATGGAATAGAATAACCCTTGATTGGAAGAAAATAGATTAAAGCCTGAACAGTGTTCCAGTCCAAGGGTTGGCAAATGATGGCCAATCCAGCCTGCCAGCTATCTTTGTACATAAGGTTTTATTGGAATAATGCTATAGGCATTCATTTATAGATTGCTTATGGCTGCTTTCATGCAGCAACAGCAGGGCTGTGTACTTGGAAAAGAAACCACCTGTCTTGAAAAGCCTAAAATATTTACTGTTTGGCTGTTCACAGAAAAAGGTTTGCAAGCCTCTATATTTGGGAAATTTGTTTTTTATCTTCCTGCAGGTACCACTGAAAGTGACCAAAATTTTAATCTGCCCCGTCTCTGTATCCGGAAGTTTTTCCCCAACAAGAAATGCTTTATCTTTGATCGACCCACTCACAGGAAGAAGCTAGGCCAGCTTGAGACATTGCATGATAATGAGCTGGATTCTGAATTTGTGCAACAAACTGCAGTCTTCTGTTCCTACATCTTTAGCAATTCCAAAACTAAGACTCTTTCAGGAGGCATCAAAGTCAATGGACCTCGTGAGTCCTCTTCCTAGTCTTTTTCTGTCATTGTTAAGACTAAAGGAGGGTAGAATTATACCCACATATTTTCAGCTTTGAAAAATGAAAATCCTACTGTTATTACTATTTAAATTCTAGATGACACCAACATTTCCAATAGATTTTACTAGCCAAATTCCCTTGGGTGAGAAAAGATGGGTGAGGCCAAAGGAGAAAAAGCTCTATTTCTTAAATTTATCCTAGTTAATTTGACCTGCATTGCCCAATATGGTAGCCACTATACAAGTGTAGCTCTCTCAATTTAAGTGTAAATTAATTAAAATTAAGGAAAACTTAAAATTCCAATTATACAGTGATATTTCAAAGGCCCATACATACCTACATGGGGCTAGCAGTTGGATACCATACTGTACAATACACATAAAACACTTCCATCGTCCAGAAATTTCTCTTGGACAACACTATGCTAGAACAAACAAAACTCCTTTTGATTTGTTCTACAATATTGATCAAATGCTTACCACAGACCAGGGCTGATGACAGAGACTTAAATGAGAGAGGTATGGTTCTTGTCCTAATGATGCTTGGGGGGTAAAGTGGATGCAAACACTCAAAAAACATAGGCATATGTTACTATAATAGAGATTCTTGACCTTTCATGTGTATACATATCACCTGGGCCTCTTGCCAGAGAGGAGGATCTAATTAAGTTGATCTGGGGCAAAGGCTGAGAATCTCCATTTCCAAGAAGCTTCCAGCTGGATGTTGGAAGGAAGCAAGCTTCCTGAGGACGTTGATGCTGTGAGGCAAATGAGTAGTAATAGACGTGATCAGAATTACACAGAATAGAATGTTTCCTCATCCCACCAGCAACAAGTATTCTCATTTGTTCTCAATTTGTAGGTCTAGAGAACCTGGTGTTGACCTATGTCAATGCCATCAGGAGTGGGGATCTGCCCTGCATGGAGAATGCAGTTCTGGCCTTGGCCCAGATTGAGAATGCAGCTGCAGTGCAAAAGGCCATTGCCCACTATGACCAGGAGATGAGCCAGAGGGTGCAGCTGCCCACAGAAACCCTCCAGGAGCTTCTGGACCTACACCAGGCGTGTGAGAAAGAGGCCATCGAACTCTTCATGAATAGTTCCTTCAAAGATGTAGACCATTTATTTCAAAAGGACTTAGGGGTAATTTTTTCTCAAGTTTATATGGATTAGGGCTTGGAAAACAAAGTACAGAAAATGAAATGGGCATTTATTTTGAGAGAGGGAATGTCTACTAGACTTTAGAATGGTGATAACCACTATTTGTTATTATCATAAAAAGAACAAAGTTTGTTATGATAAACTCAAAGTTTTGAAACAATTTTCTTTCATAAATAATAATCTTCCTCAAAATTTAACTAAATGTATATAGGTAACAATCAGAGCTTCTATTCAAATGTCCACTGTTATCAGACTGGTTTGATATCTTAATCAAAGACAAAGAAAATTGTAGTCCTGATTATCATATGCAGGCTTATGTTGAGCCACATTTATTCTATGTAATAACTGGTCTAATTTGACAAGCAGAAGTCTACCTCTTAAAGGTGTAGCAAAAAAAAAAAAAAAAAAAAAAAAAAAGCCAGCAATCTCTGCTCTGAACTTCACCTCCAAGGAAAAAGGACTTTAGTAAGAGTCAGGAGCAAGAGGAAAGATATGATCCTGTTGAAGTGCCTATAAGTTTTTCTAGGGTCATAGACTTGTTCTTGAGATGCCTTTCCAAAATCTCCAAGGTTAAGCTAACATCTTTTCCCTGTTACTCTTTTTACTTCTCATTTTTAAATTAAAGGCCCAACTAGAAAAGAAGCGAGATGACTTTTGTAAACAGAATCTGCAAGCATCAACAGATCGTTGCTCAGATTTACTTAAGGATATTTTCAGTCCTCTAGAAGAAGCTGTGAAGCAGGGGGTTTATTCTAAACCAAGAGGATATCGCCTCTTTATCCAGAAGATGCAAGAGCTAAAGATGGAGTACCTTCAGAAACCTGGGAAGGGGATACAGGTAACCAAGATTTATCTGCTGACTCTGGAAAGCTGCTGACATGCCTCCTTGGAAGACCAGCATAACCAAGTGTAATTGCGCACGTTGCAAGAACAACAGCATTCAAACTTTCATTTGATAAACACATACAGGGAGCCTATTACACCACATATGTCCTATGTGCTCATCCAAAAGAGTGCACTCAATTAATAACTGAGTTATTAATTGGATTTTCAGATTAACCACCAAGTTGTTACTGTAATTCACTATTATAGCTGGATCTTTATGCTGTAAGGGACAGAAACCCAGTAATGGTCACTTAAACAAAAATGGTAATTCATCAGTTTAGGATACAAACTGGCTTTAAGGACAGCTAGATTCAAGATTTCAAGAAATGCCATCATCTGTCTCTCTGTCTTCACTCTCCTCAACCCCACACTTCTGTCTTTCCTTCTCCCTCTACCTTTCCTTTGATCTGCTTTCTCCATGATGGCTTCCTTTTTTAGTAACTCACTCAAAAGGATGCCACAGCACCAATAACTCCAAAACTAGAGCCCTTAGTCTGAAAGAACAAAGAATCTCTTTTCCCCAGTGTCTCTATCAGTCTCCTATAAAGGATTCTGCTTAGTAGGGTGCTATGATTGGCCAGCCTGGAGCAAGTGCCCATACCTGTGGCAAGGAATCTTGACCAGCAGCCACACCAGGGCCCAGAGGAGCAATTCCTAGAGGAAAAGATGGTGGGAAGACAATCAGGAACAAGCGTTTCTAGCCATTTCCTATTACTAAGTCCATGTTTTCTGGGTCCTAAGGCTGAAGAGGTTCTTCAGGAATACTTGAAGTCCAAAGAGTCTATGACTGATGCCATTCTGCAGACGGACCAGACTCTCACAGAAAAGGAAAAGGAGATCGAAGGTGAGGAGCCAGTCCAGAGGCTAGATAGCCTCTAGAGCTCTCAAAGTTTAAATAATTTGGCTGGGTAAGCCTGTGATCCTTACACTTGGGCAAAAAGAACTAAGATACCTTTCACTTGTTGAGGTCATTTCTGAGTAGGGCATATGCAGTGAGCAGCAACAAGCTCAGGTAAGTGTGCAGGGAAAGAAGGGACAACATGCTTTCTCATATACATTTTTCTTCTTTTTCCTCCTCACAGTGGAACGTGTGAAAGCTGAATCTGCACAGGCTGCAACAAAAGCACTGGAGGAAATGCAAATAAAGAATCAGCAGATGATGGAACAGAAAGAGAGGAGCTATCAGGAACATGTGAAACAATTAACTGAGAAGATGGAGAGGGATAGAACCCAGTTGCTGGAAGAACAAAAGAGAACTCTAGCTTGCAAACTTCAGGTATTTAATTATATGACCTTGAGGTTTCTGTTTTTCTCTTTCCTCTCCACTGTCCCTGATCATATCTTAGTGTAGCAGTGAGAACAAGATGCCCAGAAGAAGGTCCTTGCACCACTTGTATTTTTCGATTTCTGTCTTCCTGCCTGACCTGGCTCCTGCTTCTGCCTGGTTATTAAAAGATTTTATTTGCATTAGGTCCCATCTAGTCCTTTATCTGTACATCCTTCAATCAGTGGTGGCTGCTATCTGCTAGACTTTCTGAAAAATCACTTATGTGTATCTCTTGCTTAGTACTATATGAAGCAAGAACTACCATGCCTCTATTACTTGGGAAAAGAAACAGAAGTTCAGAAAAGTTCCAATAACTTTTATAGGGTTACATAGCTGGGTAAGATATCTGAACTGTCTTTACCACTCAGTGGAAATGTAATCACAGATGTAATCACAGGATGCCCAAGAGAAACTAATGAAAAGTATATGTAGAGAAAATGTCAAAAAGAAATGAAATATCTTTTAAAAATATATGAATGTGGAAACCTGATATACTCAGTCTCCATTTTCCCTTTTTAGGAACAGTCCCAACTACTAAAGGAAGGATTCCAAAATGAGAGCAAACAACTTCATAATGAGATAGAAAATCTCCGGAGGAACATGGCAAGGCCAAGGACAGTATGCGTCATAAGCTAAAGACTTAAAGAACAGAGATTTAATGGTCATTATTTTTTTTTAACTTTTATTTATTTATTTGACAGAGAGAGATCACAAGTAGGCAGAGAGGCAGGCGGTGGGGGCAGGGGGGTGGGAAGCAGGCTCCCCACTGAGCAGAAAGCCCAATGCAGGGCTCAATCCCAGGACCCTGGGATCATGACCTGAGCTGAAAGCAGAAGCTTAACCCACTGAGCCACCCAGGCGCTCCCTCTGGTCACCCTTAACCAAGGCATAGCTTAAGTAATTTTTGAATTTGTAAATACAGCATTACACTTGAAAATAATTAGGTCTTGCATTTTTATAACACTATAAATTTGCAAAGACATGCAGTGCTATAATTAAAATCATGTCCATCCTCCTAAAAACATTGTAAGTTGTGTAACAAAGGTCAGTTTTACCTCTTTAACAACACAGAAGGTATTTGAGCTGGTACCATTCAGGAGCAGTTTATTCTTCTGCGTGACCATTAGTTGACAAATGGATAAAAACCAAATCTTAAGTAAAAATTTAAGAACAAAGTGGGGCATCAGTTTGGCCAAGTGTACAATGGGTTTCAATGTCAGGAACAACCATCTTAGCTTTTTAGTGAAGACAGTGTGTGTGCAGTTTTCTACTGTGTCACAACTGCACAGTCTGAGCAGTTATGTGATCACTAGGCCCTGGAAAAGGACAACCTTCCTGATGGATTCCAAGCTGAAGCAAGCCACCTTATATAGAGACCCAGAACTTCTACAGAATTTTCATAAGATGGAAGAAATCATTAGCATGAGTAGGGGTTGGGTCACAAACAAACAGACCAAAAAAGGAAACTCTCCTTTCTTGCTCAACTCACCCAGATTATAAATTCAATGAGACATTTTAGAATTTTAGGTAATTGACACTGGGCTGAACATAGTAACGTGATGACAATTATGCATTGTGTATTTATAACAATATATAATTCACAAAGATGGACCTTAAATGATGACTGATAATATATTAGAAATCTGAACTAAATTATTAGACTGTTTATAGTCCTATAATTTAGGCAATATTTTCCCAGTTCTTAGCAGTCTATACTTGGAAGTTTGCTGATTTTCCCCCAAAGAAATTATAGATTTCTTTTTATATTTTTTGGCCAACAAAATAGTGTTCTTGGTATTACATAGTGTATATAGAATTTATCCTAATTTTCTAAACCCTAGGTAGGTGGTTGTTTCTTAAAATGATTAAAAATTATTTTCAACATCATTCTACATCAGGGAAATACAAATCAAAACACAATGAGATACCACCTCACACTAGTCAGAATGGCTAAAATTAATAAGTCAGGAAACAACAGATGTTGCCAAGGATGCAGAGAAAGGGAGACCCTCCTACACTGTTGGTGGGAATGCAAGCTGCTGCAGCCATTCTGGAAAACAACATGGAGGTTCCTCAAAATGTTGAAAATAAAGCTACCCTATGACCCAGCAATTGGACTACAAATGTAGTGATCCAAAGGGGCACGTGCATCCGAATGTTTATAGCAGCAATGTCCGCAATAGCCAAACTATGGAAAGAACTTAGATGTCCATCGACAAATGAATGGATAAAGAAGATGTGGGGTGTGTGTGTGTGTGTGTGTGTGTGTGTGTGTGTGTGTATGCAGTGGAATAATATGCAGCCATTAACAGAAATGAAATCTTGCCATTTGCAACAACACAAATAGAACTAGAGGGTATTATGCTGAGTGAAATAAGTCAATCAGAGACAATTATCATATGATCTCTCTGATATGAGGAATTTGAGAGGCAGGGTGGGGGGTTGTGGGGGGTAGGGAAGGAAAAAATGAAACAAGATGGGATCGGGAGACAAACCATAAGAGACTTAATCTCCGGAAACAAACTGAGGGTTGCTGGGGGGTGGGTAGGTGTGTAGGGATAGAGTGGCTGGGTTATGGACATTGGGGAGGGTATGGGCTATGGTGAGTGCTATGAAATGTGTAAGCCTAATGATTCATAGACCTGTACCCCTGGGGCTAATAATACATTATATGTTAATAAATTTTTTTTTTCCAAGCTGAAAATAAAATGTGCTTCACTAGCCTTTTTATTTCTGATAGGGTGTTTTTTTTTTTTCAGTTTTCAGCAAAAAATAAGGCTTTATTCTTGATAGAAATGGTTGACTAACTTTCCTGCAAAAGACCAGACAATTATTATTCATGGCATTGTGGTCTCTGTAATTCCTGTCTCAGCTGTGCAACTCTGCCATGTAGTGTGAAAGCAGTCATAGACAATACATACATGGATGGGCATGGCTGTGTCCAATACTCCTTTATTTTAAAAAATAGGTGGCACCTCCCCAAGCCATAGTTTTCAGATTATTGCTCTATTAAAACATTGATCAAATTCTATGTATCTGCCTTACATTGCTTACATTTGTAAGGGGATGTGTATTAAATTGTATGTTAGGATCTTGAAAGTATTACACAATGTTTCAATATATTACAAGATGAGAGAAATATAGGGAAGCAGCTAATGCCATTGAATGATTTGTCTGGTTTAGTGCCTTTTCCATACTGTCTCCCAGAACAAAATAAAGCTCTCTCCCCAGGGAGGCATGTTGCTTTCAACAGTGGTCCTCAGTCCAGCTGTGAAATAAAACCAATTTACTAAGTATAAAATTCCTTGGCCCCTAACCTACCCTTCTCTTGACTTTCTGATATAGTGTTGGGTCATTGGGTGATACAATAACAAAAAAAAGGTAATTCAAGGCTCTCAGCTTTCAGTCTGCCAAAGCTACCCCACGTTAGGACTGATATTTGCTGACCCTTATGGTGTTCTTCTGTCAAAATTCTTTTTAACACAGAGAATTATATTTTCTCTTGTTTAAATGTCAGGATGTTACTTTTCCTTCTGTGGGTTTAGTGAAAGGATGTATAAGATCCCCCAATTTAGAGAAAGGCAACACAAAACACTGAGATCCTGACAAAACAGCAGAGCTTCCTCATTGAAAGCTGTCCTCCACAGGTCAAAAATCAGCTGGGCCGGGAGTCCCACGCTCCATAGGTCAGAGAAGTCATGGCTTCTGCGTCAAAGGCAAGGACCTGTTTTCATCTGATGAGGAGGCCCAGGCAATGGTGGCTAGGCTGGGCCGGGGCCTGGGGCAGCAAAGGGGATGGTGGAGGAGTGCCACGTGGAGGTCTCCAGCCTGCCCTTCAGCTGGAGGCGCTCAAGCTCATATCAGACAAGAAGCTGCCCAAGGGGGCGTCCCCACTGCCAGCCAGGCAAAACCACCTCCACCACCCTCACCACCTTCACCCCACTGGGCTACTGGGTAAGCCCTTAGACTGCCTCCATCAAGTCGGAAAACTCAGGAGACCAGGCCGCCAGCATGCAGGAACCTGGCAGATATTCCCCGGGGCCAAGACACAGGAGCCCCACCACCTGCTCCCTGCAGAAGCACAAGACACATCAGAAGCCGCGAACACACCTTACGAAGGCCCAGCTCCTTGCTCCAGAGCAAAAACTGCACGGGAAGCAGCACTTCTCCATTGTACAGAGGGCAGAGTTGTCCAGGGGTCCAAACCTCACAGAGACCCAGGTCAAAATCTGGTTCCAGAACCAACGGGCCACAGCGAAAAGACTGCAGGAGGCAGAACTAGAAAAGATGAAAATGGCTACAAAACCTGTGCTGCCTGCCCTCTGGTTTCGGCCTCCCTTTCCCCATCATTTCTTCCCTGTGAGCAGCATCCATATACAAGGCCTCCTACCCTTTCCATAGATCTGTGCTTTCCATCCCGCCATTGGACTCTATGTGACTCCAGTCGGATATGGCATGTACCATCTATCCTAAGGAAGACCAGTTCCATGGACTCCGTGATGGATGCTTGTTAAAATGGGTCCTCCTTCCCTCTCCAAGAAGGCAGTACCAAGCCGGTTCTCCTGCTCAGCGAACCTTGCAGGAGCCACCCCTAAGTGGCTAGACCCACAGGGCCACAGACATAGTTCGAATTTGTTCTTTAGGCTGGAGGCACCAAGCACCATTTTCTTGGTGTGATCTTCTAGATGCCCCCTTCTCTTTTCACAAAGATTGGCTCTGATGGTTTTCATACATAAATATATACATAATAAAATATAATGACATTTTTATAAAGCAGACGTAAAAATTCAGTTTATTTTGAAAGGCAAAATTTATATGCACATATGTATACTTTTTTCTATATATCCCCTTCCTAAAAGAGACTGCTTAAGTCCATTTTGTTTTCTTATAAGAGAGACCAACTATTTGCTAAAATTGCTGACATCTGGTGATTTTGATTGGATGATTGACTTTTGTTTATGGAGAACAAAAGTTAGAATTAGGCATGATGTTTAGGAAATAGATTCCTCAAAATAGAGACATCGTGTTTTTGAGTTTTTACATGCGTTAAAAAAACTCACTATGGGGCTCCTGGGTGGCTCAGTGGGTTAGAAAACTCATTAGGTACTACCGTATTTGGCCCTATATTTTCCCCTCTGTCCGCATTGTTACAGATTGTTAAAGTCTTAACTTTTTTTTTTTTTGTAAGATCAATAAAAGGGGGGATGAGAAGAGTCCTGAGAATACCCTGGGGTAAGATGGGATATGGAAGTACTTCCTAATTCCTCTCAAGGCTGTTGCTTAACTCCATTTCAGATAATTAGTAAAAAGTTAAAACATGTTGGGGGATTGATGGTTTCTGTGAAATATGAGCACAAGTCAGTCAGCACACATTACAAAGGTGATTGGGGGGCAGGGAGTATAGTTAATTCTCTGCTTAAAATATATATATATTGTAACTATTACCTATATGCTAAATATTCCTGAGCAATGAACAGATTCAGAAAGAAAAAAAAAATCATGCTTTCTCTGGTACCTATTGTATGTGCTAAACTTATTAGAAAAATTTATATATCTTTTAACATGTTGGCACAGGGTAAAGCCATGTTTTGACTTGCTAAAACTGATGTTGTCAAACAGCCCACTTAGCTCCCTGGTTCTTCATCTTTCTCTCAATCTT